CTCCTAAGTAAGCCCTTTTTCTTGCATCACAACATTACATCAAGCTTGTATTAATACACAGAGGTCCAAGATATGCTAGTTCTCTGCTGGTGAGATAAACACTTTCTACAGAGCCCTCATCTCCCTGCTGGCAACATCACTGCACCTCTGCCCAGCTGAGTTGGACCTCTGCAGCCACCTGGCAAGTAACTGAAGGTTCATGAAGACACTCAGCCACCTGCCCCAGTCTGTTCAACAGCAGCCAGTGCCCTTGCAAAAAGCAGCTGTGTGTAGACACTGCCTGAGCCATGCACCATTTCCAGGGCATGAAAAGGTGGTAGGTAGGTGCTAGGGTTCCAGCCCCTGGCACTTGTGCACTATGCTGCTGCCACAGGATGGTGATGGCAGCAGTGCTGGGGACATAATTATCTATCCACAGACAGGCACGGCATATTGTATTGATTTGCTTCTACCTCCTCAGAGAGAGGGAGGACAAACCCTGGGAGGATGCTCTCTGCCACTCCCAAACTGCTTTTGTTCCTCATTTTGACCCCTCAACACCTCTTTACCCCAGGAGAGCTCCCTTTACCTGCCCCCCCAAATCCCTCACACCCGCCCTCCCATTTGGGAATCCCCTCTCTAGCTCCCACCAGACCCTTCTTACTGCGCAGGGGATCACTGACCCTAAACACCTTCCCTCCTCCACTTGAGGGGGTCCCTTGAGCCCCCTCCCCGGGTGAGGTCCCTTTCAGGCAGCACCCCTCCAACGGCCGCCAACGCCTCCCCTCCCCCTTTCCCGCCAAAACCAACAGTGCCCTGCCCGGCTCCGCCCCCGGCTCTGTGACATGTCTGCCAGTTCGAGAAGGCGGAAACGAGACACAAAGCGAGCGGGCGGGGACGGCACCCACAATGATTGCCGCCCAGTTCCCTCGGTCCCCCGTCTCACGTCCCCCATAAATCCCACGTAGCACGGGTGGCGGGACCCGAGGCATTAGGTCGGGCGGGCGCCGCGAATGGGGAGGAGAGGCATTGCCGGGACGCCGCCGTGGCGGAAGGTCATAGGCTTATCCTCGATGTCGTACCCGGCCTTCCCCGTGCCCCGACACGGGGTGCTCAGGAGATCCAGCCCGGTTTTGCCAGATGCTGCTGTGCTCGCAGTGACAGCTGGGAACATCCCTGCTGCAACCGCCGGGGAAGGAAACAGCCCCTGGGAACAAAGCGCCAATTCATCCCGCCACGAGCGTGTGTGTGGGGGGAGGGGGGTTAAAGCAACACAGGTTCAGATGCATCGGATCCCCTCTGATCCGAGGCTCCCCGGCCCCGCTGGAGGCTAAAGGAGGCAGCCTGCCCACGGGTCCGCAGCCCTTGCGTTTCCCCGCTGCAAATCCAGGGGCCCTGGACCCGCCTGGCCCGCTGTATGCCTCAGAAGGCTCAGGGGCAGACCCTAGGCGGGGCATACCCTGAAGTGACCCTCAAGGACCTGCAAAGAGCCATTATTTGTGTTTCCAGAGATAATAAGTAACAGGGTTGCCGTAATGCTTTGGCTGCAGGCAGCATAGGAATAGGAAGGAGATACACATGTATTAAAATAGGGTAGGTGTCTCTTGTCCTCTGTACAAAGCGCGTCAGAGTTTAGAACGTAAGAAATGTCACTTACTGGGTCAGACCGTAAGTCCCATTTTGCTCAATCTCATTTTGTCAGAGATTCATAGAAAACAAGGGTTGGAAGGGACCTCAGGAGGTCGCATCTAGTGCAAACCCCTGCTCAAAGCAAGACCATCCCCAACTAGATCATCCCAACCAAGGCTTTGTGTAGCCGGGTCTTAAAAACTGCCAAGGATAGAGAGTCCACCACCTCTCTGAGTAACCTATTCCAGTGTTTTACTAACCTCCAAATGAGAAAATTCTTCCTAATATCTAACCTAAACTTCCCTTGCTGCAACTTGAGACCACTGCTCCTTGTCCTGTCATTTGCCACCACTGAGAACAGTCTAGCTCCATCCTCTTTCAAACCCCGCTTCAGGTAGTTGAAAGCTGCTATTAAATCCCCTCTCAGTCTTTTCTTTTGACTAAAGCTCAGTTCCCTCAGCGTCTCCTCAGAAGTCATGTGTCCCAGCCCCATGACTATTTTCATTGCCCTCTGCTGGACTCTTTCTAACTTGTCTACATCCTTTCTGTAGTGGGGGCCCAAAACTGAACACTGTACTCCATATGTGGCTTCACCAGTGCTGAATAGAGGGGAATAATCACTTCCCCTGACCTACTGGCAACACCTACCAGTGCAGCCCAGTATGCCATTAGCTTTCTTGGCAACAAGGGCACACTGCTGGCTCATATTCAGTTCATGTCCACTGTAACCCCCAGATCCTTTTCTGCAGAGCTGCTGCTTAGCCAGTCAGCCCCCAGCCTGTACTGCTGCATGGGACTGTTCTGTCCTAAATCCAGGACTTTGCACTTGTTCTTATTGACCTTCATGGGATTTCTTTTCATCCAATCCTCCAGTGTGTTTAGGTCTCTCTGCATCCTAACCCTCCCCGCCCCAGCATATCTAGTCCCCTGAGCTTCGTGTCAACTGCAGACTTGCTGAGGGTGCAATCCATCCCATCTTCCAGATTGTTGGCACTCCACTTGATACCATGTCCCAACTAGAGACATCGAGCCATTGATTTACTACCCTTTGATCCCAAAGATCCAGGCAGTTTTCTATCCACTTTACAGTCCATTCATTCAACCTGTACTTCCTTAGCTAGCCTGTGAGAATGTTGTGGGAGACTATCAAAAGCCTTGCTAAAGTCTTGTCACACAGTGGTAGAGAGTGAATGCTGAAAAGGAGTCTAAATAAGGCATGACCAGGATTTTTTCCCTGCTGTTCATCTCTTATTTGCAGCCTCCAGCATTTAAGGTCTAGGAAGATCAAATATAGAGGCTATATCCCTAACTCTCATGCCTCTGTGTGCTTTATTATTCAGGGCCTCTTGTGTGTTCTTGTGTGTTACTGTACTCTGAAGGGCATCCCATAATATATGGGCACAACGAGGTCTTCAGACATGTTCAAACTTGTTTTTTTGAAGGCTGTAGAGTGTTGATGCTTCATACAAGATGGAAGAGACACAAGCAGGTTTTGGTTTTCACAACACTGCACCTGTGCTAGTGGGATAATGATAAAATAAATAAAAGGTGAAACTACTGGGTCAGAATGAATGGTCTATCATTTATTTTAAGAGAATTTAATGGTACCAAGAAGTGTAGATTGGCTGGTGTGGAGACTTCCCTGTTCATCCCCAGAATCAGTACCATGCAGTCAGTAATAAATAATAACCAAGCCTGTGCACAATCCATATACCATTCACTAATCAACTATAAAATACCTCGTCCTTTCTCATACAGTTTTCCGCATCTGATCACCTGTTTTAGTGAAGGGATAATATGCCTTGGTCTTGTCTGTGGATTTCATTCAGTTTATTAGCTCCTAGGGTGTCCCTGTTAAACATTAGCACCACAGTAGGGTTCCTAGTTGGCAGGCTTAATGAGAGGCCACTAATTAAAGGAGATGCAAAGCATTTCACTACCTGTTCTTCAGTAGCCCATCCGGGCCACAGATAGGGCAAATTAGCTGTGATGCCCATGGGAGTGTCTACCAATGTTAGAGGTATCTTTCACTATCACTGTCTGCGTTGAACTAAAATGTTAGGGGATTTGAGTCCTCAAGAGCTTTCAGTCAGATACCTTTCACAAGCATTACATCTACTTTCAAATGCTGGCACAGATGTTGGCTTCTTCCACACTATTGTGGAAGATCAAATTAAAAAATGAAATAATATTCTGGGAGATGATTAGATTTCGATTTTCACTTCTGCCCCATGACGATGTGAAAGATAGGAAGAGGGAGGTAGGTAACATTCTCTCTTCGGGTAGCATGAAGGTTCTTATCTAGTTCTATATTGGCAGTTCCCATCAATGCTTGTTCACTTGCTTCTTTTGCAAACATTTGGGTTTGGGAATGGTTCTGTTTTTGTAACGTGGGGAGTTGTCTATTGAGACTTGCACTACAAAACTGGAACTCTTGTCGGTAGTGTCAGAGGAGCCTGGGACAGAACTGACTGCAGTAGTTGAATTACATTTTGGCAGGGGTGGTTTGTATTTCTGTGTGTGTGTGGCTTGCACTACTGCTGTCCTGAAGATAAAGAATTTGAGGTAACCAGGATGTCCTTCCACTACCTCTCACTAGTACTAAAAATATTTTCTTTATTGCAAAAGAAACCCACCAAAACTAAATATTTGAATAATGTTGTGTTTTCTTCATGGGTGGGCATAGGGGGAATATAAAGTTTTCTTCTAGCAGAAAAAAATAGTTTTTACAAGAGGAAATCCTGAAAGTGATTGAACCAAGCAGGAAGGCAGGTGAAGGGAGTGGATTAGGGAGGAGGACCATATCCTGACAGCTGAACTATGAACCTTGCAAATATCTCCTCCAACCAGTCTGACTGGGAGAGCAAAAGGGAAAGATTTCAAAGAGGAAATCAACAACAATAGCAGCTGCTCAAAAAGCACCTTGTATATCAACTCCTTGACTTATCCACCATTCTTCCTGGTTTGGAGTAAAAAATTGGGAAGGTGAAAGGAAGTGGTGGATGAAGAAGGTGTGAAAGCAACTGGGCTCTCTCAGAAGCAGGAACCTAAAACAAAATCTTTCTTTGGGGAACTACCCTTGGGAGTCACCTCACAGCCTCTGCACTGCTTTCAGCAAGGTTTTAAATAGGTAATGTACTTTTGCAAAACATCCACCCTCTGTGTCAACTTTAAACAGAGAATAGGCGTACGGTAAATTCCCTGCAGTTGCTATAGAGAAAATATCGCTCAGGTTCAACTCGCCAGCCCATGCACCAATGTTAATAGGAAACTCATTCTGCAGTCACATTGACCTCTGTAACAGAGGTAAAGCCTTAACCTAGATAAGGGTTCTCAGATTCTCCATGAGCAAGAGCCCTTATCATAAAAACCATTTTCACTGGTAGTAATTTGCCCTTTACTGCCAGGCTCAGAAGCAAGGGAGGGACTAGAAAGCCAACCTTGCTGTTCCCTGCTTCTCACGGGTGGGCTCTTCAATGGGACAGTGAGGCACAGAGTACACAGTTAATAGCTATCCTGTTTTTCTTCTTTTCACAGGTTTGTCCAGACTTTTACTAGCACTAAAATCTACTGAACAGAAAAACATAAGCACAGCACCAGTGTATTTATAGGCTGTTTCTGCTCCAAAGGCAAGTTGCCTCAAAAATGCTGTTTCTGCTCCAAGCAGCCTGCTGGGCTCAAGCCATCATCTATATCTCCTCCAAGCCACCTGCAGCAGGTTATTGACTGGGACATGAACTGGGTGTTTCAGCAGCAGGTCATGTATTGTTTCCTGTTGCACTATAACTGCCACCCTGTTTTACCTAAATGCTGAGCAAATAATCTTGTACACCCATGCAAAACTAGTGATCAGGAATATGAAACTTTTATGTAAGGGTTGAGGGCAGCAGAAGAGGTGAATCTTGGACCTGAAATAGTAGGGAGGTTTGCAGGTGAGAAATCAGGAATCAGATGTATTCAGAGACCTGTGAGAAAAGCCCCAGGACTGAAATAGCTGGACTGAGCGGTAGAGTATGTGGTAGCTCTATATTGAATTTATTGTGATATTGGAATAGCAGGGGATTGTGGGACAGGGCTGAAGGGCCTTGGTAGGTGTGGTAGTGCTGTACATGAAGGAGGTTTGCTTTTTGTTATTATGTCTCACCTGTACAATGCTATCAAGCT